GTATGTGTGCATTTAGAGCGGTCTCCTCTCCTGAAGCTCCCCACATGGATCGAAGTTGTAAGGTCTCTGGATCTCGGGAGTTAGAGTGCTCGCGCTTCCGCGGCAACCATACCAGAACTCCCTGTAACCTCAAATAGGGGCATATAGTCCTTAACCCTTAACAATTAGAACAGGGTTTTGGGGTGTATCATCATATAGTTATAATAATAAGGAACCCCAAAATAGTATAGGCAATCAGAGGGTAGGAGGGTCCCATTTAAGCCCGCTGGTTTCAACATCGGCAGGGCGCTCTCAAGACGCATCGCAGTGGGGCTGGCAGGTTTAGGAACAAAGAAAACCGGGGGTCCAACTGCTGAGGTCCCTGAAGCCAAGGGAACCCTTGCAGGAGCCCGTAAAGAAACCCTTGTAGATTTCTTCCAAAAAAGACCCTAAACCCTAATCACAAAAAGATGACTGCCGAGCCGCGAGCACGATCTTACAGATGGCACGTTCAATCTCCACCTAAAGTCATAAGGCAAACCCTACTATACCTAGTACCGATCTCCAAATTCGGGTAACTACCAAACTTCACAGCTATCACAGCAAATCTACTGTCAATCCTCTGAACTTGGCCTGCAATGCCTACAACCTGGCCAAAACCCTCAAAACCTTACATAAATGCCAAAAAACCCCGTTCAAAAATGACAGGTTGTTTTGTTTGCACCTTTTTTGGACAACCTATGCATGGTTAGCAACTTCAACAAATAGATAACACAACTAATTACCACAATGCAGATATAATGCAGCGTCCCCCTACAACCAAAAAACTACTACCATTCAGGGTACCCGAAGTCCTGAATCCCAACAAACCCTAAACCATGTACACGCGAAAACCCAGAACACACACACACACACGCGCACACACACACACACACACACACTCATCTTAACTCAAAAACTAAAAGACCCGAAACCCAAAACATACAAACCCTAAACCTTGAAACCAACAAAAAAAGCAAACACACACACACACACAAAAAAAAACAAAAAAAAACTTAACACTAAACCCTAACACCCAAACCCTAAATCCTAAACTCCCTAAACCCTACAACCCAAAACACACAAACCCTTTTGCTACTGGACTCACAAACCCTCATTAAAGCCTATATACCCTAAACCCTGAAGCCTAATATCGGGGCCTGAATAATTAGAATGGGGTTTTGGGTGTATTATACTATACTTCTATAAAGAGGAACCCCCAACAAAGTATAGGTAATCATTTTGGCTTCTATACTATAACTTCAGAATCCAAGGGGCAGGTCCAGGTTTCTGCGGAGGAGCCGGCAGCGTACGTGTACCCGGCCTGGCGTCCCCGGGCATAGGCACGGGGGGGTTGAGGGTTTAGGGTTTAGGGATGGGGGGTTCTAGGTTGTGTGGGTTTAGGGTTTGGGGGTCTGCATGTCGTTGTTCTTTGGGGTTCTGCGTGTCGTTGTTCTTTGTTGGGGGAGGGGGGGTAGGGTTTAGGGTTCAGGGTGTAGGTTGTAAGCGTATTCTGTGAGGCGGTGCTGAGGTTTGTTGGTCAAGGTCTAGGGTTCATATCGGTTTTACATACAAGCAGGGCCATAGTCTAGAGCCTTTAGGGTCTATATACGGATACAATCTTCAGGGAGTTTTGTAACGAAATTGTTCGACCTTCCGGTCACTACAGTGGGACCACGACCAGTTCCACAACTTTCTCACCCGCCACAGCAGGAACGATGTAATGCTATGCAGGTGCCTGAATATTGAGGGTAGGGATTTGGGGGATATTCCAAGTTACAACCTACAACTCCGACTCGTCTCTTTGGTGTAGCGTCGAGGCTCACTCAGCTTTTTTTGTGACTGTATGCCCCAATCAAAGCTTATCTCTAAAGTGAATCTAAAGCCAAGACCCCAACTTGGAAAGCCCTGAAGTTCCCTATGCCTGATCTCTTTTGGCGGCTTGTTGTGCTGTGGGCCCGGGCCCTAAACCCTAAACCC